TTCTGCGAGGTTCGTGCCTACGGAGACCATTCCTGCTACGCTTATCCAATTGAGCGCCAGTAAACCTAATGAGGGAGAAAATTACGTAGCCTACGCCAGCCGATTGATGTCATCCCTGATGAACCGTTGGAGAAACGCGAGTACTGAGCAAATTGCTGTCTCTGTAGTGCTAGCTCATTTAGCCCAGATAGATACGAGACTACAGCGACTCGCTTTCACTACTGAGATTAGTTCACGTCATAGCTTGCAACAAGAACTGCAAGCATACTCCTATCTCAAACGCAAAGCACCACAAGATGTTAACAACACTCCAGATAATGTGAAGCAACCCAGAACGTCATCGCCACCGCTTAAATGTTACTTATGTGGCAAGCTTGGACATAGGCTAGTCGATTGCCGTCTTAAAAAAAAAGAATTTAAGAAGTACCCTATGCCTTCTGCTACTAATGCACGTTCAGCTCAACAGCCGACACCTAAGGGAAAGCTCATCTGCTTCAAGTGTGGAGAGCCTGGCCACATCGCCACGCGCTGCGGGAGCGCTGCCCCCGCTACTGCTGCGAATATCTCGCCCTCCACAGAACGCCGAGTCGACCTATGCATGGTGAAGCCCCCAACAGGATCACTAACTCATAACGGTCAGTCGATAACATTTCATTTTGATTCAGGAGCCGAGTGCTCATTAGTCAAAGAAAGTTATGCAAAAAAATTGTCTGGTAAACGTTTTAACAACGTTATATTGCTTATAGGTATAGGTAACAAAAATGTACATAGCACTGAACAGATTTTATGTAATGTTGAAATCAACGAATATCCCACTGAAATCTTATTTCATGTATTGCCCGATAATTATTTACGCAGTGATGTTATGATCGGTCGTGAAATATTGCTTTCCGGTTTCGTCATTAATATTAGCGCAAACGAGTTTACTTTAACAAAATGCAATGTTATTAATTCGTGTGTAAATACAATAAATACTCAGAGTGAATTTGTGACAAATAATCTTGATAACGTTGACACTGACATTTCATTTGAACTTAAACAATCACTTGTCAGTTTATTAAAAAAGTTTTCTCAATATTTTATTTCTGGTTTTCCAACTACCCGCGTTAACACTTATAAACTAGAAATACGTTTGATAAATCCGAATAAGACGGTACAAAGACGGCCTTATCGTTGTTCACCAGACGAACGAAAAGTAATGCGTGAACGAGTGAATGAATTATTAGATGCTAAAATAATAAGACCTAGTAATTCACCTTTTGCGAGCCCTGCGTTGTTTGTTGAGAAATCAGATGGTACGAAACGTATGTGTGTTGATTATCGTGAATTAAATAAAAATACCATTCCGGATAGATATCCGTTACCGTTGATTTCTGAGCAGATTTCGCGTCTTAACGGAGCTTATTATTTTACCAAATTAGATTGTGCAAGCGGCTTTCATTTGATACCGGTTAGTGAAGAATCTATTGAACGTACTGCGTTTATAACACCAGAGGGACAGTATGAGTTTTTAGCTATGCCTTTCGGGTTACGTAATGCAATCTCGGTTTTTCAACGTGCGATAATAATTGCGTTAGGTGAATTGGCTTACACCTATGTAATCGTTTATGTCGATGATTTGTTAGTAATTTCTGAAACGGAAGAACAGGGTTTAGAGAGATTAGAGACGGTTTTGAAGGTTTTATCTAAGGCAGGTTTTTCATTTAATCTTAAAAAATGTTCATTTTTAAAAAAGCATGTACAGTTCCTTGGATATGAAGTAGAGGCAGGTGAAATTCGTCCAAATAAAAAGAAAATTGATGCACTTACGGTTTTACCTCCACCCGAATCAGTAACGCAGCTGAGGCAGTTTATCGGGCTTGCTTCATATTTTAGACAGTTTATACCCAATTTTAGTTGTTTAATGGCACCTTTACATAGACTTACTTCAAGTAAATGTCCCTTTGTATGGAAGTCTAATCACGAAGAGATACGTCAACAGGTAATTTCTATTTTAACAACAGAGCCTGTATTAATTATCTACGACCCTCGTTACCCAACAGAACTGCATACAGATGCCAGCATGGATGGTTATGGAGCTATGTTGCTACAGATTGTTGATGGTAAGAAACGGGTGGTTGGTTATTACAGCAAGCGCACTACATCAGCTGAATCGAAGTACCACTCATATGAGTTGGAGACTTTAGCAGTAGTGAATGGTGTGAAGCACTTCCGTTCTTATTTACATGGGAGGAAGTTTGTTGTTGTAACCGATTGCAATTCATTAAAGTCTTCTCGAGATAAAATAGAACTAACGCCAAGAGTACATCGGTGGTGGGCCTACCTGCAATCGTTCGACTTCGACATTATCTACAGAGCTGGTAAGAATATGAGTCATGTTGACTTTTTGTCTCGCAATCATTTACCCCGCCAACAGGCGAAACAGGTGACTAAAGTGCAGCAAAAGCGGGTGGACTTAACCGAGCTTTCAGACAATTGGATATTAGCCGAACAACAACGAGACGCAGAGATACAAAAGGTAGTTACTCAATTAAGCAATGGGGAGTTGAAGGATGAGATTGCGCAAACATATGAGGTACGATCTGGTTTACTTTATCGTAAAATTCAGCGTAATAGAAAGACCAAATGTCTACCTGTGCTACCACGTAATATAAGGTGGTCAGTAATCCATAACATACATGAATTCATTATACATCTAGGCTGGGAGAAGACTCTCGAGAAGCTCTACGACTACTATTGGTTCGAAGGTATGTGTCGCTATGTTCGTAAGTTCGTTGATAATTGCGTTACATGCAAAGTAGCTAAGTGTCACTCAGGCAAGGTACAGGCGGAGTTACACCCAATCCCAAAGGTAACGGCACCCTGGCACACAGTTCATATGGATGCGACAGGTAAGCTCAGCGGTAAGCGAGATAACAAGGAGTATGTGTTCGTACTTATAGATGCGTTCACAAAGTTTGTGCTGCTACATCATACAATGCATATTGATACCGCCAGCAGTATTATAGCGGTGTCAAAAAGCGTGGCGCTGTTTGGAGCACCGGTACGTATTATTGCTGATCAGGGTCGTTGTTTCGCTAGTCACGAGTTTAGAGAATTTTGCAAAATTAAAAACATTAATCTCCATTTAATAGCAACGGGATCGTCCCGAGCTAATGGTCAAGTAGAGCGCACAATGAGCACGATAAAATCTATGCTTACCGCAGTCGAAGCTAGCGAAGATAGGTCTTGGCAGGATGCATTAGGAGATGTGCAGCTCGCTCTAAACTGTACTGTTAATAGGATTACAAAAGCGAGTCCTCTCGAACTACTTATCGGTAAAGTCGCGCGTCCACTTAATTTAATGGCTAATGAAGATGATATTGATGTCGATATCGGAAAGGTTAGAGAAAATGCAGCTCTTTTAATAGAAAAATCGGGTCTATATGACAAAAAACGGTTTGATAGTACAAAAGCGAAATTGAACAAGTTTTCAGTGGGAGATTTCGTATTGCTTAAAAACGAAGAACGCAACCAAACTAAATTAGATACCAAATATAAGGGACCATTTAAAGTTGTAGAGGTGTTAGACGGGGATCGCTACATATTAAGAGCGTTAAATTCTAGGCGTACTTACAAGTATGCACACGATAGGTTAAGGAGAATGCCCGAGGGCCAAGTACCACTTGAAATAGAGGAGGATGAATTGAGTGATAGCGTGGAATCTTAGTTCGTATGGCCGGACCGTACCAGTAGCCATTTCGTAGCCGTAGTCTGGTAGAAGTCAGTGTCTACTTGTAGTAGTCCGTGGATGCGCGGTGCGCGGGTGGCTCTGGTGGAGGTCGGGGTCTGTTATGACCATAGTGTGTAGTCATCGAGAGGGTGATACATACGGTGATCCCGTAGTGGATATGTTGACCGTACTAGTAACTATTACGTAGTCATAGCCTGGTAAAAGTCGGTCTTTTGAGGAAGCTCAAACTATATAGACCGTGGGTGTGTGATGTGCGTTTAGTTCTGGCGGAGGTCGGGTCTGGTAGAGACCATAAGAGTCGTGTGGGACTCGGCATTTGTAAGGAATGCAATAAAACAAACAGGGGTTTGTTGGAGAGGCTAAATGTAAAGCCATTGGCCGCGAATAAGATACCTGCTTAAATAATAGTTAATTTTAATAATGATTTGTGTTTACAAGTGGTAAATTAAAAGTGTACTTGGTTTCTCTAGCGTTATTATTTGATTTTATAATTTGTCTGTTCTTAGGTTTTCTAATGTTTGATGTAGAATATCAGACTCAAATAAAGCTTGTGTAAATGAAAAAAAAATGATTAGTGAAATCAAGTTTAAATAGTTTTTTTGTATTAAGTTAGTGAGGAAAATAAATAATGCTGTAGTGATGAAGTTTAATTTTATTTTTGAAATCGATTATAAAATTAGTGCTAGAATTATCTATTGTGTCAGGAATGACCGAACAGCATATACTGTGGTATTTGTTTTCTTTGTCGCAGAATGAACACCCGAGGACGTGTGTGGCGTAGGATGGCCGTGTCGGAGACGGTCATCAATACGGTCGCTAAACGAAGCGCGGCACGACGCCTGAGTGATGGCAGCACCTTCGGTATTATCGCCAACACTCGGCGAGCTTCGTGCTACGACGGAGCCTAGCTAAGGGAGGGGTGCTAAGAGGGCTGGACACTTGCCTTCGAGCCGAGCCAAGCCTAGGACCGCTCCACTAGGAACTGTCTAACGTTTCGTTTAGAATAATTAGTGTGAAGTGTAATATAGAGTGATTGTTGCATACGGTGTATTCTCTTTGTTCGATCTGCCCTACGATTTGCCCGCAAGATGTCAGACGACAGTAATAGCGTTACCCATCCGAGAAATATTATATTTATGTGCTCATAAAAACATAAAATAAAAGATCAGAAAGATCTTGTGTGATTAACTAAGTAATGTTTGGTCTTTTCGATTCAAAATTAAATTAAAAATAAAGCTCGCTTTCTATAGCGCTGATTCCTTATTTAATCTGTTTTAATATAAATTAGAAGGGACAATTTTCTCTTTTCAAATAACATTCGTGCTGTCGCGATTATTGATTTACCGCCGACGAGGATGTCATTGTGAACTTCCCATCTACCCGTAATTCGACGAACATATGCGATGTAATGACCCATCAATAATTCAGATTGCATTTTGCAAGGCTCCGGTGATTGTAATTCACCAACATATTCAACTACCGACTGTATAGTATAAGTTGACTTTGCGATTTCAATTTTCTCCGGCACTTGACTTATCGTGAGAGTCCCTGGCCAATCAGGATGTCCAAGATTTTTGGCAAGCTGGGTCCATTGCAGACACTCAATGTCGATGATCATGTGATTACCGATTGTAATTGCTGATGTCACATCTTCTGATCGGCAAACCGCACACTTTCTCTTTTGATGCAGTTGATTTTGTAAGACTTGTGTCAAGGACTGTATACCGTGAGTATAAAACGGTTTGACATCCACTTCGACTACAACGGCCTGTACTTTATCATCTTTATTGCAGGACTTACAATGGTAATCGATCGTGTATGATGGTTCGTCCTTTAACAGATGTTTTATTAAGTTGCTCACGTTCATCATACAATCCAAAATACCACCATCAATTTTCTTAATCTGATTCATTATCTCAGCCCTTTCCTTATAAACTTTCATTGTGCAGCCTGACTTATCTAGCAGTTTTACAAAATCAAAAAAACGATTACTCGTGGATATGAAATATTCTTGATAACTGGCCCAATCTCGATAAGCAACTAGCATTGATTGAGATACGGAATCGATTGGGCATGTGTTACGGACCATAATGTTTTTACTTTTCAACTTAACGGGCCCGAGAAGTAATCCGTTTTTCAATAATGGTACAGCAGAAGTTATACATTTTGGTCGTCCATGGCGGTGCTGAATGTCGGGACATGGGCGTAAAAATTTACCGCGTCTTTTTTTATCGCGGCTCTTGCCTTTCCAAGTTTCCTTTTCATTAAGATGCGCGTTTAAATTCTCGCAATTTTTGACATTATATGCGTCGATCGAATTATGATCGTTTTTTTTGAAACCAGGGATATTTATAGTTTTCATTGACTGGGCAAACATGATTTTATTTTCCATGATTTCGTCTTCACATGGCCTGATCTCACTCCACGTGACATCGTTCTCGCTCAGTGTAACCTCGGCATGGTCATCGTCTTCGTGTTCTGTGAGTCTGGCATCGTCTTCCATGAATACTCCTTCATTTAGCTTTTTTTTCTTACGGCGAGGTTCCAAAGCGTCGTCTTTAGCCTGATGCAAAGCGTGGAGGATTTTTGTGGTTCCTGCAAGTGATCGCATATGTATGACTAAAAATTTGTCGACTCGTATGGCGGATTTTCTTTTTAGTACCAGCTGCTTCACCTCCCGAAAATACTCTTCACTGTATGATGATGTAGCGACCGACGACTTATCCTCTGTCATGACGGCAGTCCACAAAGGGAAAAGTTTTGCCATCCTGATAAAATTATCAGCGAAATCGGGACAGTAATAAGGATTCGGTCGGTCACCGTCAACTAAAAGGGATTTGCATTCAGCGACGAGATCATTGATGAATTGCGGTCCAGTGATGCAGTTTTCGGGACTATCCTCATTGTTATCTCGATTATCAGTTTCATCGCAATTTTTTTCGTACTCGTAACAGAGGGCATCGCTTTTAATCGCTTCCATAAGACGTACTTGGGCGGCGAAACAGCTACGACTATCATCACTGTTGATGGCCTCCGTATCCGACATTGCAATGATTAGAACGTCACAAAAGACAGTTCGAAAACTGTTCATGTCATCACATTTGGTTAAAAGCCCGACACATCTAACAAAAAAATCTTTTACACTGAAATGTTTTGCTACAAAACATTTCCATCGGCAGACGAATTTAATCTGATGCGCAATATCAATGCGCGCTATGCACGGTGGTCGTGGATTGTCGTGGGGTGACTGGAGCCATTTTACGCAGATGTCAATATACACATTCAATGAGCATTCGCAAAAAGCTATACAAACTGCATTGAGCAAAGCCAAGGAGCAATCCGTTACCACTTTTGTAGGGGTCGGTACACCGGAACGTCGCCACTCTTTTAACCAGTATGAAAGAAAATTGGCATCATGTTTTTCTGAAACCACTTGACACACTGGTAGAATTTTGCCGTGAAATGGTACTACCGCTTGATATAAAAATATACTGCGACTGGTACCGTCCGGCCTTTTAATTCGGCTTATCAAAGATCCTGTAGCATCGATTGACAAAGAACCAGCTTTACAATCGTTACATTTTAAAGTTTCCTTGTATAAGTAGATTTGTTCTGCACTCCAATAAAACGTGTAAAACTTATTTATACAGACTTCTTTTAAAAAACCCGCAAATTCAGCCTCGTACTGTAATTTTTCAACAGATCGGATTGGATCGGAAACGTTTGTCAGGCCCAACTGTCTATCATTTTCCAGCTGTGTTGCTTTACGTAATACATCTTCTGTATACAAATTTGCAGGCTCAGGGTCGCCGAACTCCATCTTCTGATTGGCATTTTTCCTTCGCCACACATATACACCGTCGGCCTGCAATTCTTTTACAGCAGCCAAACGTTCGGTGCCGGATAAAAATCGTTTTTTTTTATGCACTATACCAGACGTATCAATTGTCGATACATACATCACCATCCCCTTATCGGATAACTTAACCGATGGCAAGTAAATATGTATGACGTTATTACATTCTCGACATTTACCGCGAACTGTAAATAAACATTCCCCGGGATTTTCGTTTATTTGCGCAAATCCGAAGGCAAACGGGCATGGGAGCTTCATATTCTCCCACAGCAGAGAATAAAGCGTATTAGTCCAACCAGGCGTCAAAGTTAGATTTTTATATTCATCGTACGAAAAGAGGCACAATTTTACTTTCATAATATCTTCTTTTGACACATATATTGTCTTTCGAAGAGGAGGGAATGCAGGCAAATTATTTTGGACCTCCTCCATCGACCAGTTAGATGTAGGAGTATCGTCCATGTTTATTTTTGAAGTTTCAAAATGATTCGGGAGATTTCGGTACTTAAAAATTCTTTCGTAAATCCCGTTGCGTTTAGTTGAAATGTACAGGTAGATATATTTTTTATTCATTTTGGGCAACTTTTCATGCGCATGAGCCCATACTGGTTCGGACAACGAAAACAACTTGCACTCATTATTCTTGTCCAGGTAATGTAAAGGCAAATCTTTTATTGCCTCAAAGATTTCGTCAACCATATAAGCGGGCGCTGCAGGCATTTTGAGTGAACAAGTAATATATCACGACTGATAATAAAGAAATACGTTACGAGAAATAAATAATTAAATAAAAAAAAAAATTTATTAATTACAATACTAATTTTTAATTTTAATTATTATTACATACATATGTAATAATAATTATTTTAAATATGTAGTTTTAAGAAATAATATATTTTAAATAAATAAAAAAAATCGCCTACAGAAAATAGGATAAGTAAATAGTAATAAATATATTGTAAGATCTCAAAGACAGAAAATAATGAATAAATGAAACTAATGAAAAATGAATAATAAAAATATAGAAAAAATGAATAATGAAAATATGTATAGAAAAAATGAATAATGAAAATATAGAAAAAATGAATATCGAAAACTCGGGTGTTACTGAAGCGATAGCAACTCTCATATGTCTTATCACTTCGGAGGAATACCGTAGCGAAGAGCCGCCTTCGGACAGCTTATCGCCCCAGAGCAATACCGACGCGAGAGCCGCTTAGTAGTGTAGTTTCATTACGAATTTAGTGATTTTAGCTGTTAGTAAAAAGTAGTAACAATAATGTAAAATAAGTATAGAAAATTAATATATAAGTACAAATGTATAAGGTAATTAATGATTCAAATATAAAGAATGAATAAAACAACTAACTAAAGACTGCAAAAAACGTGTAAAAGAGGCAAGTCTTTTTCACATGATTGCCATGGCACACAAGAGTAAAAGTGATAGCAAATATTACTATTTATATAATAATAATAATAAAGCCTTTTTATTTTCTAAATAAATAAATATCAGAGAATTATCAATTTAAAAAAAATTAATACATACAATACATTTTTAATTATTAACTTATCATACTCGTATATTAGTTTCATCATGTTATTCATTAAGCGAGAAATGTAATTTTTTTTAATTTTTTTTATTTGTAAAATGCCGAATATAATATGTACCTATATATTGATGCTGAGTAAAAATTAATATAATTAATTAATTTTAAGACTAATTGTGCAAATATATATTTTTTTATATTTTTGTTACACAAAGTCTCTAATTTATTAAAAGATATTTGACAACACGTTTGGCTCAGTTTTTAGTGGGTCACTACATGATGTGCCAATGATCGCGGGTTCGAGTCCCGCGGGGGGCATTCATTTGTGTGATGAGTACATTTATTCATTAGTGTGAGTTTGTACTCCAGTCATGGGTGTTTATATTTATAATATGTATGTTTTTAAAGTTATATAATATGTGTAGTGTATCAACTATCTGTTATCCATAACACAAGGCTCGTAGCTTACCATGGAACTAGATGGTGCTGTGTGTTAATGTCCCAACATATTTGTATTTGTTTACATTTAAGTATTATACATTAACATATCCGCCTTATTTAATGGACAAGTTTGAATTTCTATAAATTCATACAAATAGGTTAAGATCTTCAGACAATTTGATGCTAAGAATAGTACATAGTAAATTCTTCCAGTAAATCCTACTCTGCACAATCAACCAAACTCTGGAATAGTTTGCCTGTTCATATAAAACGTTCCAAATCATAAAAATATTTAAAAAATCTGTTAAAAATCATTTTTTAGATCATTTATCTAAATGAGAAATCGACATTGTGCAACATTTATAGGTGTCAATTATTTATTTATATATATGTATATATATATATATATATATATATATATATATATATATATATATATATTTAACGGCTCAGTTAGAATTTTATTATAATATATAATAAAATTCTAACTGAGCCGAATCTGTACATGAAATACTTTTTGGAAAATCTTATTGAAATAAACATTAATTGATGAATTTTTGTCTGTCTGTCTGTTACCGCATCACAGAAAAACCACTGGAGGGATTTTGATGAAACTTGGTGTGTATATATATATATAGATAATTTGTGTACCTATTGTATTTATTTCATTACAGTGGTGCAAATCAGAGTAAAAAAAAACATTTTCTATTATGTACATGTAACATTTATTACTATTACAAAACATAAATCATAATCCAGCGGATTAATATCGGGACTAGATGACGGCCAGTCTTCAGCTCTGATGAAGTCCAGAACGTAGGTTTCTAACCAAGATTGCGTGGATTGAGCTTTGTGACACGGCGCCGAATCTTGCTGAAAGGACCATTCTTGGTTATTGAACATAATGTTGTTCAGGGGCTTAACTACCTTCTCAAGAATGGTATCTTGATACACTTGTGCCGATGTTTTGATACCTTTTTCACAAAAATATGGCTCAGCCACTCCTTCATAGCTTACAGCCTTTTTTTTAACGTTGGGAAATGCATTTACGCATGACGTGTGGGACTCGCCGGCAAAGCCACAGTACTACCCACTAAAACCTAACAAAACCCTCCCGCGTCTTAATGGGGCGTCGCAGAATCGCTTACGCATTCAACAACGACGCCCCGACAGTAGGTCTGCCGAAGTAGACCACAACCATGGGGTTGCTCCAAGGTCCAATCTGAGAAGCACCAGGAGCAACCCGCATGGTACACCGCCCACCGAAGAGGGCTACCTCCTACCGCCCACCGAAGTGGGCCACCTCCCTGCGTGTTTTTCGGCTTCTCATCGTTTGTACCCATTTGTACCTCCGAGAATTTCGTTTCTATTATCATTATACATACGCTAATTGAATGTTGCAATAAGTTCTCGGCTTCTCTTCGTTTGTACCCGTTTGTACCGTGGAGAATTTGGTTTGTATCATCATTATACACGTGCTAATTGATTTTTACGATAAGTTCTCAGCTTCTCATCGTTTGTACCCGTTTGTACCGCCGAGAATTTCGTTTCTATTATCATTATACATGCGATAATTCAATTTTACAATAAGTTCTCGGCTTCTCTTCGTTTGTACCCGTTTGTACCGTGGAGAATTTGGTTTGTATCATCATTATACACGTGCTAATTGATTTTTACGATTAGTTCTCAGCTTCTCATCGTTTGTACTCGTTTGTACCCCCGAGAATTTCGTTTCTATTATCATTATACATACGCTAATTGAATGTTGCAATAAGTTCTCGGCTTCTCTTCGTTTGTACCCGTTTGTACCGCCGAGAATGTCGTTTCTATCATTATTATACATGTGATAATTGAATTTTACAATAAGTTCTCGGCTTCTCACCGTTTGTACCCGTTTGTACCCCCGAGAATTTCGTTTCTATTATCATTATACATACGCTAATTGAACGTTACAATAAATTCTCGGCTTCTCATCGTTTGTACTGACGAGAATTTGGTTTTTATCATCATTATACATACGCTAATTGAATGTAACAATAAGTTCTCGGCTTCTCATCGTTTGTACCCGTTTGTACCCCCGATAATTTCGTTTCATTATACAGACGCTAATTCAATGTTACAATAAGTTCTCGGCTT